GGTGCCAGGTCAGGAACAGTGATGGGCGGGAGGGAGGGGACAGCGCGCTCAGCGGTCAGCTGGACCAGCCCGAGTCCCCCGGCGAGAAGGCTTCTCCTCTCTGCCTCAGGACTTGGAGAAGTGGGAAGAGTCCTTTTCCGAGTCCGACTTGCCAACTCCAAGGTCCTTTCCCTTTCGGGATGAGCAGAGTCAGGGTCTGGGGGCTGTCCTGGAGGCTCTGAGGGAGGAGCCAGAGGCCTGGCCTGGCTCCCAGGACCTGGGCTCTCATCCCCGGGCTGCCCCCAACTCTCCCGTGACCCCGGGCCACCTGGCCTTGTGTCTCTCCAGGGGTCAGTTGAAGGTGGGCGACCGCGGGGGTCCTCAGAAACGTAGAGTGGGGAGGAGCCAGGAGATGTCGCCTGTGCACTTGGCCCTGTCTCGGCCCCTCTGGGGGGGCTTCCCGGGAACTCCGGAGGGAATCTTCAGGGGAGTGGTCACCCCAGGAGCACTCGCCTGGACCGGGGCTGTCCGTTCCAGTCCCCTGTCTGCCCCCTGTGCTCCCACCATCTCTTTCCCTTTCTGCTTTCCCTTCCTGATCCAAGTGTGGCCCCTTGGAAGTAGAGGTGTGAGGGGACACACGGGGTGGCCGGTTGCGGAGTTGGACATTTTGCTTTTGTCAAAACAGACTTTTAGAAGCATCTGAAGATGCCTTTTCTTGGTGGGTTTCGCAAACCTCTCCCCACCTCCCGGGGTGGGACCCATTTGGAAGTCGTCCTCCTCCATGCGTGGCCAGAGGGGGGCGGCTGTCCACTGGAGAGGCGGGCGCGGCCACAGAGGTCACCAGCAAGTGCCTTTCTCTTCTCCATCTTGGGATCTGCCAGATGTTTTCCGAGTTTTCTCTGAACACGGCTCTTTTTTTTTTTTCCTACCTTCTCCTTGGCCAAGTGTGTAAAGGAATGAAAAGTAAGATCGCATTTGGGGCCGTTTAACGTTGTAACGGGGAGAGGAGGGTATGGGAAATGAAACATGACCCCAATATTTGGAAATTGAGGTCATCTCCTCGGCACGCCATTGGCTGGCTCCGGTCACGTGATCACTTTTTGCAATAATTTGTGGGGCGCGTCGGCCAAGTTTTGTGAGACTTGACAGATATCAAATGGTTAAATTTCCTCTGACTCAATCGAGTTGGCTGGAAAGACATCCTTTTCCATCCTTGGCCCCCTCCCTCCCTCGCCCCATAAAAGAACAGTGGGTGGGAGGAGTTCCCAGGCCCAGAAAATTCCCCGAAGCCCTCTCTCTCCTCTGGTCCAGATTTTAAGGGCTGGAGGCTTGGAGTTTTGGTCCCTGCCCAGGCCTGAGACCACCCAGCGGTCTCCCCGGGCAGGAGCCCTTCCTGGTGCCCGTCTTGGGGTCTCTTCTCGGGCTGCTCTTCTCGGGCTGCTCCTGGGGTGCTGGCCAGAGCCTGCCCCTTCACCCCTCCCCGCAGCTATCTCTGGACTCTCCCCACTGCCACGCCCTAGCCAAGCTCAGCTGATGCCGCCCTGCCCTGCCTTCTGGCTGCCTGGCCTGTCGCCCTGCCGCTGCCTCCTCCCGGGACGGCCCCCACCCCTTTCCTGGGTTACAGAACTTGCTGGGTGGAGCAGAGGGTGCCCCACTTAATGACAGTGACAGTGAGCAGACCCTGGAGGGCCAAGGAGGACTCCCCTGCGTGTCGTTAGGATGCTTTGGGAACAGCCTCAGGAGATAGTTACACGCGGGAATGGGTTTGCCGGCACTTGCCTGGCCTGTGTCGTGGGCCGGTCACGGCATCTCGGGGGACCCGCATGCAGGCCTGCGAGGGGACAGAGCCTGGGAGTCGGAGAGTGGGATCCCAGGTATGCCTGCCCGTCTCCTGTTTGGGGCCCTAGGCCAGCGTCTTGCAAGGCCAGTCTTCGAGGTGAGACTTTGACGGCAGTTTTGTTTCATTTTTCCAGCTGCAGCCTGGGCCTGAGGCTCAGTCCAGACAGGGCCCCGGGGTAGGGAGGCGCCATTTGGCCAACACAGGGTCTAAGGGCCTTTCTAGCTCCCTACCTCCTCACTCCCTCCCTCCTTCTTTCTTTCACTCCTATGCCTTCAAGAGGGACCCAGTTGGCCACAGTCCCCACCACTCCTTTTAGTCTAACCAGGCCCCTCCACACATCAGCATAACCGGCCTGGCCCCTGAAGGCCTTTGCCTTTGCGCCTGGGCTAGGGGTCTGTGGGGAGGCTGAGGCAAATGAGGCGGGACCCCTCTTGTTCCCAGAGTCTCACAGGGGCACCCTGCTGTTCACTTTACTCCACAGCCCCCATGGGACATGCTGAGTGTTTTGGAGAGCTGTCTGGGAGGGTTAGCACCACTGGGCAGAGCTGGCGGGCTTCCTGGAGGAGGTGATGTTCCGCTGACCTTCCCCACCACTTCTTCTCCTACCTCTTTGTCGTGGGTCCTTTGCCACTCCTGACTGTGATCTGGCACTCCTTCCTGGCAGGACGTTTCACACTCCGTTCCAGAGTTCTCCCGGGTGGCTTCCCTTGGCTGGAAAGCCCCGCATGGACGAGGTTGGCAGGCACCCCCGGTGCCCGTTTGCCTGGGAGCCCTTTGCCAGGAGAATCCATGTGCCTCAGGGGAGGCTCTGGCGGGTTCTGGGAGTTTCATTAACCCTTTGTGCAGGCTGCTCCCCGCACCCTTTGGTGCAGTGAGAGCCGTTTGCAAGGTGAATGACAGCTGCGGCTTGGGGGGTGGGGGCCCCTGGCCACGATTTGGGATACCTGTGCTGGGTGACAGGCAGCAGGACATGGGAGGGACATTCCTGGACAGGCAGATGGTGGAAGCACAGGACCGCAGGGCCAGTCTCAAGGCCTGTGTGGTGTGGACCGAGCTTCTCTGCCTCCAAGAGGCTCTCCGGTGGGTGAGGCCAGGATAAGTCACTGCACCTGTGTTCCCCTCCTGAACATGGGAGAGTGACGTTTCTCACCTGGAGGGGTGGCTGTGAAGACGGGCAGAGGTGAGATGTGTGGGCAGCTCTCCAGAAGGGCTGGCGTGGAGGAAGCTCCTGGGGGATGGAGGGCACGACTCCCATGCCGAGTGGCATTTTCGTGCAAGGGTGCAGCAGACTTTCCACACTCTGCTTTAAAAGGGAGCGCTCCAGCAGCCAGGGCTGGGGGGTGTGGCCATGCTGAGACCCCTAGGGCTCTGCCGCCTGCCAGCGGGGTCAGTTTGTGTGGCACCTTCAGCTTCCTTGGTCTCGGTCACTCGCCTCATACTGGGGGCGCTTTCCCACGTGACTTCACGGGATTGTTGTGCAGGTCACATGACGCGATGCATGTGGAATGCTTTAGCTGGTTCCAGGGTTGTGCCCGTGTGTGTTTGTGTGTCAGGGCATGTGCACGTGTGTGTGAGGTGTGTCTGTGTGTGACCTGTACGCCTGTCCGTGTGCATGCATGCCAAGGCATGTTCACGTGCGTGTGATGTATGTCTGCATGTGATCAATAAGCCCGTGTGTGCATGTGTCAGGGTGTGTGCACGTGTGAATGATGTGTGTGTCTGCATGTGATCTCTGTGTCTGTGTGCATGCATGCCAGGGCATGTTTACCTGTGTATGATGTGTGTCTGTATGTGATCAATGAGCCTGTGTGTGCATGTGTCAGGGTGTGTGCACGTGTGAATTGTGTGTGTGTCTGCGTGTGATCTCTGTGTCTCTCTGTGTGCCTGCATGCCAGGGCATGTTTACCTGTGTATGATGTGTGTCTGCATGTGATCAATATGCCCGTGTGTGCATGTGTCAGGGTGTGTGCACGTGTGAATGATGTGTGTGTCTGCATGTGATCTGTGTGTCTGCATCTGTTTGTATGTGTGTTTGTGGGTGTGCATGTGTGTATGATGTGCATGTCTTCACATGACCTTGTGCCTGTGTGTGCATGTGTTTGCGAGTATGTGTGTGTGCATGATGTGTGTCTGTGTGTGATTCATGTGCCTGTGTGTGCCTGTGTGTTTGTGGTTATGCACGTGTGTACGAGTGTGCACACGTAGGCATATCTGTGCACATGCATACATGTTCACACAATGTCCCGAGTTCCTCCTCACGCCAGGCCTGGCGTGTCCGGGGAGCTGTGGCTGTGCGGCCTCCAGCTCCCTGCCGCGACCCACCCCTGCTGGATGGCAGAGGAAGAGCTGAGCCCGCCACCCGGGAGGCTGTGGGTTCCGCCGTGGGTCCAGCTGGGTCCACCATCCGATGTGTCTGTTTTTACTCCCAGGAGGATGATGTTACAGTGTGGCTTCTGCTTCTCCCCTGTTTATACTCTCCCATATAATCGACTCATCTGGTGTCAGCACTTTGCCAAATGTCAGTTCTGACATTTTTCTGGCCCAGCTGGTGGACACACTGGGTGCCGGAAGGCGGGGCCTCCTCTGACCCTGCTCATAGGGGTGGAGGGGAGGGCCACCGGGACGCGGCATCAGGACCGGGTTGGGCTGGTAGAGGGCACACGGCCTGCATCCCTGTCCCAGTTCCAACTCCCACCCGCAGTGCATTTCACCAACCCATGCCTCAGTTTCCCTATTGGGAAGGGGTGATGATTATAACTACAGCAGAGTTTTGGGGAGGGCTCGATGCATAACTTGTAGAAAGCACAGTGTGAGCCCTATTGTCACAGCAGTGACCCTTGAGGACCTTGGGGTTCTGGGTTCTTTTTTTTTTTTTTTTTGAGTTGGAGTCTCGCTCTGTCACCCAGACTGGAGTGCAGTGGCCGCTCCCGGCCATCGCAGCCTCGACCTGCTGGACTCCGGCGATCCTTCCGCCTCAGCCTTCCGAGTAGCTGGAATTACAGGCGCACGCTACCACGCCCGGCTGATATTTTGATTTATTGTAGAGATGAGGTCTCGCTGCCCAGGCGGGGGTTCTGGGTTCTTGGTGCCCCTCTCTCCTGTGCCCCTCTCTTCGGGGAAGCGTGAGAGGAGGGAACATAGAAAGCGCCCACTGGCCATTTCATCAGCGTCTTTGCTGCCCCTTTAGGGGTCCTGAGCCTGGGAGGTATGTCCTCACGTGTTTCCTGTGCAACACATCCCTTTCCTGCCCCCTCAGTCCGTCCGTCTCCTTTTTACAAGGAGGACTTGGGGTCCAGAGGAGTGAGTGGACCTGTGCACATCCCAACTCAAGGGCTCTGCTCCTCTGCTTCCGTGACATGACCGTGCGTGGCAGCTGGTCACTGAATAGGTGCATTCCAGGGTGGGTGGAGTGGGGGACTTGGCCGTCTCAGACTCCGTTTTTGTGTCAGCCCAACCCCAGGCCAATGGAGAGAAGGCCACAGAATGAATGAATGAATTGCTGACCCGATGTGTGGTTGGGGACGTGGGTCACTTTGTGTCATCTGTGCCAAGTAGTCTGAGCCATCGAATCCTCTGCTTCCTATCAGTGGAATCGCTTTCTGGAAGATTCTCAGCCCAAGTCATAACTCCTACATTAGTAGTCAATGTCCCCAGTCCTTGGTGACTCAGACCTAAGAAATGGAACCACAGTCTGACCCACTTTCCTCAAAATTTAATTAGACGGTGCTCGGGGCAGGAGCCCAGCCCATCTGCTGAGATGTCTTTGTCCCTGAAAGGGAAGATTCCTTGACTTTCTGTTTCCTAGACCTGTCTTTTTTTTGTGTGTGTGAACGATTTGTTTTCTGTCCTTTCCCTTTCAACCAGTACCTTGGCAACAGGGATTCTGGCGACCTTTCAACTCTCTCTCTCTCTTTCCTTCTCTGTCTCTGTCTCTCTTGTCATCTTTCTTTCGGGTTTCACCCTGTGACCCAGGCTGGAGTGCCGTGGCATGGTTACGGCTCCCTGAAGCCTCCAACTCTTGGGCTCAAGCCATCCTCCCGCCTCAGCCTCCCAAGTAGCACAGACTGTAGTCATGAACCCCCATGACTAATTGATTTCTTTATTTTTAGAGACAGGGTCTTGCTGTGTTGCCTAGGTTGGTCTTGAACTTCTGAGCCCAAACTCCTGCCCCGGTCTCCCAAAGTGCTGGGATTCCAAGCGTGAGCCACTGTGCCTGGCCTTTATATATAATATAATATGTCTATGTGTATGTGTGTGTGTATATATATATTATATATATATATATATAATATATATATATATATATATATATATTTTTTTTTTTTTAGTAACTGCCATGGTAGGGCATCAAAATGTGTGTATATTGTGGGAGTGGTGGACATGGAAAAACTCAGACCCTTGCAGTAGAAAAAACAGTGATCTCCCAATGAGGGAGGGTGAGCATTTTACCTAAGTCCAGCGTTGCAGCACCCGTTTTGCACTCTGCCAGCCGGGTGGCCAAGGGGACGCTTGCGCCGCCATGGGTGGGCGCGTTCCTCTGTGGGTCTTGCAGAGGGAGCAGGCGAGTCCATGTGTGAAGGAAGCAGGCGTGTTTGGGTTTGTGGACCCTCCCCCTGTCAGACCTGTGCCAGGGACACGGGTGAGCAGCCGGTGAGCCTCGCCTGCCCTGCAGGGGGCGCCGGACACCAGAGCAGGCGGCTGGACCCAGAGAAATGCAGGTGGAGTGAGGGGTTGGGAAGCGTTCATCGGGGTGTGCCTCTGGGCCAGTCCCAGGGAGGTACCTGCCACCCCACGGGGCTGCTGGCCAAGCAGAGACCAACCTACTCTTCCAGGGTGGGTACCTCGGGGTCCACCCCTCCTGTGCTTGAAGGCAGGTGCAGTTGATGGACACAGAGGGCGCTTTCCCGTGCGTGTTCTTCCAACGGTTCTGGACGCTGCTCTCAGGGGTTACCTGGGCAGCTCCTGTGACCTCAGGCCCGGCGGGGCTGGCCCCAAGTCCGACTGGAGGGATGTAAATGGCCCTCCGCCTCCCACTGTGATAAGTATGGCCCACATTTTGGGACACGTGGGTCCAGTCATATGTACCATGCCAGCAGCCTCCGTCCCATTCTCGAAGCCAGGTGCGGGGACATGGCATGGCCCAGCTGCTCCTGTGTGCTGTGGCAAAGCCCCTGTGGCAGCCCGGCCCCATGGGCCTCGGAAGGAGAGCTGTGGCCTCCTCTGCCTCCATTTCTCCCTCTTCCTTTTATTTTGTATTTTATAGAGATGAGGTCGCACCGTGTTGCCTAGGCTGGTCTTGAACCCCTGAGCTCAAGCGATCCTCCTCCTTGGCCTCCCAAAGTGCTGGAATTACGGGTGTGAGCCACTGTACCTGGTCCCTCTTCCTTTTATTTTTATTATTTATTATTTGAGTCAGGTCTCACTCTGTCACCCAGGCTGGAATGCAGTGGCACAATCAAATTTCACCATGGCCTCGACCTCCTGGGCTCAGGTGATCCTTTGGCCTCAGCCTCCTGAGTAGCTGGGTCTACAGGTGCATGCCACCATGCCCGGCTAGCTTTTTATTTGTGAAGAAACAAGGTTTTGCTATGTTGCCTAAGCTGGTCTCCGATTCCTGGGCTCAAGCCATCTTCCCGCCTCAGCCTCCCAGAGTGCTGAGATTACAGGTGTGAGCCACTATGCCCAGCCTCTCTCCCCTTTAAATGCACAGTGTTCACCAGAGGATGTGGCAGGCTCATCTTTTCCAGCTGTAGTTCTGCCTTGCGAGGCATTGGGCCTTCCTCTTTAGGAGGGCAGAGGTCCAGCCATATATGCCCCCTTGGCATATGGGACCCTGGACTGCTTGCATCTGTTCCTGGGGCTCTTGTAGGGGGTGGCAGACAAGCCTGCGTGTGGGGAGAGCCGGCCTGGTGCCCTGGAGCCCTGCACAGGGGAGGGTGGAGGGGAGATGGTGGATGCAGAAAAGAGGGGCCTTGGGAACTGTTTTCTCAGGTCCTCTGCCTTCCCAGTGCTGTGTACTCTGAGCAGGCTACTGAGATCTGTCTTTGCTGTTGGTTTTCTTCCACTTTTTCCTTTTTTGCCCTTGGGGGACCGTCGGTGCCAGTTCTGTGTTCTTCCCCCAGGGAGAGGAAAGGAGAAAGTGTCCATGTCCCTCGGACAGGCCGCTCTTCCTTCTTCCTAGGGGGGTGGAGGGGACCCACATCCCAGGAGGCTTCATGGGAAGGAGAAAGATGCTGTCTCCTCAACCTGGTTGGCCTCTAGAATCTGTTCACAGCCTCTCACATTGAAGGGTAAAGGGTGTTCTTGGCTGGAAGGGCAGGGAATAGGCTTCCTAAATGTACAAGGGAGGACCAAAAAACAAACAAACAAACAAAAAACAAAAAACCCGGAGTTATCTTTTGGAGGGCGGGTCACTTGTAGTACAGACTTCCCCCTTTAGGTAAGTGTTCTAGGAACCCATCAGCATCTGTGGACCGACCTTCCTTTCTTCCTTCCTTCCTTCCTTCCTTCCTTCCTTCCTTCCTTCCTTCCTTCCTTCCTTCCTTCCTTCCTTCCCTCCTTTCCTCCCTCCCTCTCTCTTTTTTTCTTTCTTTCAAGATGAGGTCTTGCTATGTTGCCCAGGTTGGCCTTGAATTCCTGAGCTCAAGCAATCTTCTTACTTGGGTCTCCCAAAGTACTAGGATTATAGGTGCCTGGCCTTTTCTTTTAATCTTTTATGACCTTTTATTGAGACTGGAGTCACTTGTGCATGATCCTCCCTGATTAATCCAAGATTGATCAAACATTTGGTCACTACCTGAAAGTTCTGACACTGGGCCCTAACTCAGTCCCCTCAAATCCAAACTCTTGGAAGTGGATCAGTCTTGCTTTGCCACCTACTTGCCCTCTGAAAATTCCTCCCTTCTTCCCAGCACCACACCAGCGAGGCTTTACCATTTTTGGTAACTTGGTTAGCCTGGCCAGGAGTTTGATCCTGTAAGGCCTTTACTGCGTTCTTTAGCAATTCTAATGAGGCCTCAGTGGTTACACATTTTAAATAAGTGAAAGGATCAAAGCTTATGAAGAAAAGATGCAGGCAGCTTTAAACTTTTTGATTTGAGTGTTTTTTTTTTTTTTTTTTTCTGGGAAGAGCTTAAAGAGGCATGAAGTCATGGAGTAAGTGATCTGGAAACTTCTACTCAGCAATTTTATACTAGCTCTTTATAAATATAGGACATTCCATAAGGG